TTTGATATAATTGTTGTTGGTACTTTGCACTCAGGACTAAGGAAAACTAAATAATATGTGAATTATAAATTCCACTAAATGGATTCAGATATTACTAACAACCGTCCTCTATGCAGAAACACCAGTGACTTTTGCGAATGTCTTCATTAGGAAACTTAGTCTAAGGTAGGGAGGCAAATCTGATAAGACAAAAAGGAAAGTAGAGGACAAGAAACTGAACAGGTAGACAGTCATAGCAAAGCTAAGTGAAGAGCGATAGATGGCTTGGTTTTTGTTCCCGCCGAACACCCTAATACGATCGAGGTGGGGGAGAGTCCGCTTCCTCTTTCGAAATGCTCTCACGTGGCCACGCGTATGCAACCGCTGTAAGGGAAGTCCTACTCATTGACTTCTCTTGGCGGGGGTGTTGTTCACGAAAGTGAGAGGACAAAAAGCGAATGGCCGGCGCTTTAACCGTGTTGGTAGATATGGAGAATCCACCTATGGAAGTAGGAAAGTCCTGAATTCTAACCAATGGTGCACATGGGCTCCAGAATCCTGGAGGAACAAATGGCGTATGAACCGATTGTTGATCACCAGCTACCGTAGGACCGTATCTCCTTACGTTGCTCCACTGCCTTGTGGATAACACCTCTAAGTAAAGAATCGGGGAGTACGACACGAAGGAAACCACCTGATTCGGTCTGGTCACCCGGGTAATATCACAGCCCACAAACAAGTCAAATGAAATAACAATTATGTGTGTGGAGCATATGTAGTTGATGCTTCATTGTACTAATATTCATGTGTACAAATAAATAAATAATGTCCCATCTGTTCTTATATATATAATCGATAATCTTTGTTGTCCTGATTCCGATATCAGTGTCAATTGTTTCTCATCATATCGTGCCTCGATGTTACACTTTGATGCATATACGATTCTAAACGGCCTATGGGAAATCACGAAACATTTTTAATTCATATTATTCTGTCTCAACTTTTGTTTTTGCTTTATTCAAATTCGTAAAGTGAGCCAATTTCATGGGTCGACTGGCTTGTTACACTGACAATTAATAAACGAATCATCTCACCATGCAACTCTGATTGTGTTATCTTTAAAACTGAACGGAACATTCATCTTCAAATATATGGAACAAAATAAATATATAATTATTAGTTGCACAGCATCGCTTTTTGGTGTGTAATACCTTAACATCAATTAGCATCCAATGAAGTTGCAAATTCGTGTACTTTTTTATCCTTGATGTCTTGTTATTCGTTTATTTAACAGCCTTCGTTCGTGGTCAAACTTACGGTCACCCGGAATAGACTGACGGGCTTCGATCAGTTGTAAAGAGCCAGAAGAAACCCAGTGCTTATAAGCGAAACGTTTTGCGAAGCCGCAAGCGGCTTAACTGTCCATTTTCATGGCGTCATGCAGTTACAACCAATGCTCATATATACTTTTTGGTTAGATTGTAGCTAACCTAGAGGCTAGCTGGGTTCGATACTCACTTGCAATAGAAGTTGCAACTAAATTGCTGACATCAATCCGTTGATGACGATCAATTTGTTGGTTACTGAAAAGTAAGGTAAGATTGGCGCAGACCAGGGCATGATCAGAGTCCAGATAGGTACTACAAAATAAGCAGCAGTCTTGTACACAACCACGCTAGCGATAGCTGATTGCGATTTGATTAATCTGAGTCCAGGCTAGAAATGCCGAAGGACGACGCCAGATGGCACACCGGCGATGACTGTGCCGGAAGTTAGTGCTAGCCAGAAACAGGTTGTGGTCTGTGCACAGTTGCAGCAAACGGTCCCCGTTATCTGTCCTGCGACCAACAAGTCCCCATCGGACACCTAAACAACTCTCTTCCGTACCTAGACGCCCGACCTGTGCATTCAAGTCTCCGGCTAGTATTACAATATCTGCCGAACTCACTTTCTGGAGAACAGTTAACTGGCGATAGATTTCATCCTTTATGGAATCCGGACTGCAATCTGTCGAGGCATAGGCGGAGATAACAAAGGCATTGTTTACCCCGCCGATTTCTTCTCACTTTGATGGAGCTTCCTAATCTAATAGCACATAACCGGTTGTTAATGGGGATCCAATCGATTAGTGCTGCCTCAGTTCTAGCGCTTATTGCGACACCAAGGCCAGATGCCACAGGGTCTCCGGGTGAACACATGTAAAACAAGCCTTTTGAATAGACAGATAAAGTTTTATTTATTTATACACATACATATCGGTTCAAAGGGGCACCAGATACATATGCGCCACATTTTGTGTGAAGGCAGTGATACTACCCAGGTGCCCAAACCGAAGCAGGTGGTTTTCTTAGGGGGCCACACCCGGAGCCTTTGACCTGAATGTCTGATCCACAAGGCAGTGGAGCATCGTGAGGAGATGCAGTCCCATGGTAGCCGGTGATCAACGGTTGATTTGTACGCCATTTGTTCCCTCAGGATACTGGAGCCCATGTGCACCACTGGTTTGGAATGAGGGTTTTCCAACTCCCCTAGGTGGACCCTCCATGTCCACCAGCCCGGTTAAAGCGCCGGACATTCGCTTTTCGTCCTCTCACTTTCGTAAACAACACCCCCGCCGCGAGAAGGCAGTGAGTAGGACTTCCCTGGCAGAGGCTATATATTCGCTGGCCATATGAGAGCATTTCGAGAGGGAGAGGTGACTCTCCCCATTCTTGGCCGTACAAGGGCATTTGGGGACAGACAGATGGAGAGAATATAATGAACGTGTCGTAGTGTATAATTCCAAACATCTTCAAGTCACTGCTGAAATATACCGTCTGGTACAGATCACAAGTTGTTTGGTTGTTTTTTTGTTGAGTTATCAATGAAGTTCGTAATATGGTTGAATAGCCATCTCACGTATTTTTTTAATCAATATTTTTACTGTTAATTCTTACCTAAATCAACTCAGGTACCTAAAATACCATATGTGATCGCACTGTAATTAGTTTATGGAACCGTTGGAGGTGTTACCTTTTCGACTAAAGTATATTAGTAATCAATCACATAATTTACTGGTATACAAATCAAGTATGAACCTTCGTAATTTCTAGCTTCGTCATTATTGATTTGTTCCTTACACGAGATTAGTATATTTGTAACTCTACCTAAAATACTGTTCAACTTTTGGGGGAATTAGAATGATATAATCCTGATAATGATCACGTTAATACGGTGTACACTTGGTTGATTGAATACTCATATTCTGCATAAATGATTCATATTTATTCAACACTTTTTCTGTCAAACAAGCTGTTTAAAATGACGAACAGCAAGTAAAACTGAGTATCCTATTGCTAGTTCACGAAGATCAATTCGAATTATCATACACTACAAGAATGCGGCATAAAATTTTAAGAAACAAATAGTTGCTCACAGAAATACTGGGGAAGTCCTTATTATTCTTTTTTAATGAGACTTATTAAAAATGTTCGGCTAAAACCTTATCCAATCTCATTGTCTTTCTTGACAGCAGCTAAGGTGTTTGTTGTTTTTATAAATCTCAACTTCGTTATCTTTTCTGTCACTGGTGTTCTCTTTTATGGGGAGTCGTATTCACAAAACTATGTTCGTTAGTGGTGGCGTTAACTCAGGTGTAGAATGTATTTGAAACATCACTTTTATGAAATATTGCTATTATCCAAACCTAGCTTCCGGAGATGTCATGAAATACGAGTGCATTTCACGTGGTTTTGCTAGTAAATATGAGAATTTTTGAGATTAGTTACTGGGTAAACAGGCCATTCTATTTTCATTTGAAGCGCTAAGTAGTATGACATCCCGTAACATATTTGGTGTATCTGAAAGCTGAACATAGTAATATCCACTTTGTTAATACGTTGTCTTATATGATTCCAGGCGTTACTTAAGGTTCGACAGCCTAGGGTTCATAGCCATAAATTAATGTTTCATTCACTGAAACTTGAGCAGCTATTCTGTAACAAAATTCGTATAGTCTTCCTTACACTTACTATCAAGAAATGAGCTTAAACTGTTTCCAGTGTACATTGCAGTAGATCAAAGATGCACTAACCTAGAAAAATATATATTTTTTGAAGCTAGTTCCCAAACAACTAAATTGGTTCAGCGTGTTGTGTACATTAGTTTATAGTAAAACTCATCAATTTACTCGAAATTGAGAAATCTTTAGAGCAGTATATTTACATTTCCCTTAAAAATAGCAAAACAGTTATATTTTTATTTTGTTGCATACCGTTTCAGTAGCGCATAGCTATATGTTTATACAAACAATTTCGCTATCGACGAAAATAGCAACTTGAACTCACTTTAATGTTAAAAACATTTTTTTAAACTTTCGATTGATACTTACGTATCGTGTTTCCTTTTATATGCTATGTTCGGGTTTAGTATCATCTAGTAAACTAAAACTACTAGGAATTCAGTGTTCATCTTGTTGTGCTAATGAAGTGTGGCAACTTGAACCGATGCATATACGCCGTAGCTGACTGACTAATGTAGTACTTATCAACCTGTAACAGCCTGTGAGTGTTTGCGAAAAACTACTAGTCTTGAAAACTTCATATGCAACGAATCACGTTTTTCACAAAATAACAGACTACAAAAGACAGAAACCATCAGAGACTACTATGTTAAATTAGGTAACAACATCATAGAAATCTAAAACTGTCAACAGCAAGCTGATATGAAGACAGGTAGCTCATAACGGTGCTAAACTTCAGTGACCTTAAGTCACCAATCGATTATTTCTAGAACATTTTTTAAAAATTACGCATCAAGTTCACGAAGAAACTCTGAATATGGAGAGTTGTATAACCGTCATACTAATGATTATACAACTGTAAAACCTTCACAACTAGATGAATTACATTAAAATTTTGGTCTTAATTGCACCATGTGGCATGATCAATTCCGAATTCAATATTGCTTTCAAATGACTGTCAATCTGTGGTAAAGTTTTCATGCATATAAACTTCGCCCTTCAGTTAGTACAGCAAACTTACAACGCATATAAGAACTCTAAGTTCTGGCCAATATGATGCAGGAAACAGTTGTTGGACAGAAGTGTGATCATCATGGTTGTTAGACCATTGTACAAACCCTCCTAGTAAGCTCCGGCATGATGATCCAGAACCACGCCGTGAAAGAGAAGCGCAGTCACCGTCCAAACCATACATCATGCCTAATGCAAATGCTAACCGTATGAAAATATTGAATACACATACCGAACGCTGCAGTTCCAGATGCACTAGATGCCAGCCCTGCAGACGTCGGAAAATTATTTTCAGACTCCACACACAAAAAAGGTGAAGGGACCAACCTTCCATCTAGTCTAGAACGCAACTGTGCTAATTTAATGAATTAAATTGTAAATATAGACATACCAACTATTAATACATCTAAAAGCCTGCCTGGAAATCGCATGATCCTAAGAAATACTTACGAACAATTCGATGACTTACTTCCCGTTAAGTTTGAACAGTGACTCTTTCAGGTCACTCTTTGTAAACACTGCAGTTTTAGTTCCGACCTGTATGTTTCTTATAAGGTTTTACAATTGAACAAACATGAGCCTGGTTTAAGGTAAGACTTATCGAAGAGGTGGACGGATATATGTTCAAATCATCGCTTTTACCCCCTGTAAGTACTGTTAGTTGCCATGAAATGTTACTCACAATACTTGAGCAAAGCTATGTTTACCGGACAAGTAACCTCTACCTGCATGGGGCGTCAGGTTTCGTCAGAACCGACAGTGGCGCTTCACCAACAATACAATATCCAATATCTGTGTTAGAAACAAATAAAAAGCGAATTTTTTATCTTAGGTTACTTCATGATGTTATTATGATATTTCAGATCCTTGATTTTATAGAATTTGAGTGACTTCGCCACTCAACTTCAATAAATCTATTGGATTAAGTGTTTTTTTACTGCGTGCTATTTAAAAAGGACAGTGGTTTTTTTCCTCGTTGAGTAAACTCTACTGTTTTGATCGTTATTAACGTGTCAAGACTACTATTTATACTTTGATTGAATTTCTTTCAGTTAGAGTATTCGACTAGAGTATCATTTTTGGTATCCTAAATAGTTTATCGTCGGTACTCTAGAGTACCTTGTTTTTTCTATTGTATCTGTTAGTACTTTGTTCCTAACTATTTACAGTTTTTCTACTTATAATCAAAACTCACTTTTTCATCCTAAAATGACTGGAAGGTGCAACAAAAGCATTTGCCACCGCCCAGGATGTCGATATCCCGTTGACAGCGGCATGCAGTGTGACGAGTGCAAAGGATGGTACCATGAAGTTTGCACGAATCTAACGCCTGCGGCTTTTAAACGGTTCAGCAAGAATGGTTGCATATGGCTATGTCAACAGTGCTGTCTGGATGCAAATAGCCTGTTAACCGAGACCATCTCAATGATCAATGCTGCGAAGAAGTGTCTCGGCAAGCGCGGTCGGGACACGTCGGTCAAAACTCGATCTGTCGACACGCAGATTGATGTAAGGCAAGCACAAGTGAGTCCCAAAAGTGCTGACCCACATCGTCCAAAGGAGGAAGGACAGTCTCAAAAGAGGTCTGTCCCAACCAGAAACTCGCGAAAAAAGTCTCTTCTGTCTCTCGTATCCAAAATGGTACCCAGAAGGGGGCTTTTGGAAGCCGAAACCGCAAGGCTCGGTCAGTTTCCAGCGCGAAAGACGACCTAACCTCCCAAGTCGTCCTCAACCTTCCGGAATCCCATAGTACGCCTGACGCGACTGTGGTTACTACTCCAAACAACGTCGACGATTGTGTACGGTCGTGAAGAAAAAACGACAAAATGACGTTAAAGGAAATCCTACCCCCACCAAAAAGGTCGAAAAGCCGAAGTCTGATCACAGTGACAGATCATTCTCCATAGAGTCGAGAAGAGTGAAAGCTCGGAACCAAAAGCTCGTTTTGAGCATTACATTGTGTTGATAAAACAACTACTCAACCAAGTTATGCCCCAAAACATCTCCGGAGTCACCTTGCTAAAGGTGTATAGACTATGAAACCTGGCGCATCTGAAGCCTAATCAGTCTAGACTGCTGAAAGCAGTTTTCAAATCCCCAAACAAACGCGACTTAATCTTACAAAATAGACACAAATTAAAAGGTCCAGGAGTTTTTCTCCGTAAGGACTTGCCGCTGGCGGACCGTGTAAAAAGACGGGAAGGCGAAAAAGAACTACAGCTCAGATTAGACGCTGGCGAGAAAGACTTGAAAATTGTACATTTTCGGGTTGTGAAGCTTCGACAGAGGATGATGCCGAAGCCACTCTGGGTGAAGCACGAGGCCATTTAAATAGGCTTTGGATCTGTTATACCAACGCCCGGAGCTTACTAAATAAGCTACCGGAACTAGGTGTACAGGTTGACTCAACTAGGCCAGACATAATCGCAGTCACAGAAACATGGCTGACGCCGTTTATAGATAGTAGGGAACTTGATTTCGGGGGTTTTACATTAGTAAGGGCCGATAGAATACAAACGCGTAAATGAGGGGGAGTAGCTCTATTCATTAGGAATGCTATTCCATTCACCATCCCATCAGAGTGGGACATATGAATTAGTTAGCTGCCGCCTGAAATGCAAGGGCCGAGAGCTGCTGCTTGGTTTGATCTATCGCAGTCCAAGCTGTGAGATAAATGAGGTCCTGCTAAGCAGTCTCAACACTTTGCCACGAAGTGATCGATGTCTAATCCTAGGGGACTTTAATGCACCTATGGTGGACTGGGTAAAACTGCGAACTGAATCGTCAGATAATTCCTTCGAACAGGAACTAGTTGATGCGGTTATCACATGTGCCCTAGTGCAACACGTGAAGGAAGCAACTAGGTACGACTCGGGCTCTGCATCATCCTTACTAGATCTTATATTGACTCACTATGAGGATGACGTTGCAAACCTGAATTACATACCACCCCTAGGCAAAAGCGATCATGCAGTTTTAACCTTTGACTTCCATATAACTGTGGATCACGAGCACACCTCAGCTCAATCCAGACCTAACGTCTAAAAAGCAAACATACCAGACATCATGCACTCAGCATCATCAGTAGATTGGACAATAGACCCAGATTCCTCAATCGAAACGGCTTGGGACGTATTCCGGAATTTATACTTCAAAGCTACCGCCCTCCACATCCCTTGGACTACACCTGTGGGGCCGAGAAACTCCTTACCGTGGTTCAGTAAGGAGGTTTGCGTCTTTCTTCGTAAAAGGAAAATGTGCGATAGATTTAGGTTACTGGGGACTGATGAGGCAAAATCTCAGTATCAAAAATCTCGGAATACCTGTGCCTCGACCCTCCGTAAGTCCAGAAAGCTGTACGAAGAGAAAATCATTAAGAAATCCATAGAATGCCCTAAACGCTTGTATTCGTATATAAACCAAAGGACAAAAAGAAGAAATGTTCCTTCACCATGGGGAGACAGTACTGCCTCACCACTAGTGGAGGACGACCTTGGCAAAGCTCAAGTATTCTCTGAATACTTTAGCAACGTATATACCATAGAAACACCCTTCTCACTAGTCCATGAAAATCCCCCCACACAAACACTGAACAGCGTGACAACTAACGAACTCGATGTCTTTGGTCTGCTAATTAAGCTCGACATATGCAAATCCACGGGACCCGATGAACTGCATCGTAGGTTACTAAAGGAATTAGCTAACTTTGTTGCGAAAGCATATGTTTTAACCTATCCGTAACCCAGGGTCGTCTAGCAAAAGACTGGAAGAACGCCATAGTAAGTCCTGTTTTCAAAACAGGTACAAAACATAAACCTGAGAATTACTGACTCCCGCTGACATGTAGAAGAATCAGAGGCGACTTGATTACGGTTTTCAAATTGCTTAATGACAAATTTTCACCTGATATGCCCTCATTTTTCTCGTCTTCCAAAACAGAAAATCTACGAGGACGCTCCAAAAACGTTCACAAGTCCAGAACGGATTACTTGTCAGCTGACTATCGACTTTCCCATCGAATAATCAACGAGTGGAATTCATTACCTCAGCACGTGGTTGAGGCTCCATCCGTCGACTCCTTCAAAAGAAAGTTGGATCAGCTGAGAGACCATCATTGCCAGGACTAACACAGGCCATCAAGCCTCCTATCCTTTCCAAACTGAAACTGAAACTGTTGGCGACATTTGAGAGCTTGGAAAAGAGACTGGTAAATTCCGCTCTGTTGTTAAGTGACTAAAGTCCAAGAATATTTTATAAGGTTACCTCAAACGGTACAGATCTTCTGTACAAACTTTTAATACAATGGAGTGAGTCTTATAACAACTTATCAAATTCTATGTTCGCAATTTAAAAAACCGTCATAACACACAATAATGCAAATGGTTCTGAACCAAATAAAAGAAGCTTTCACTTGACGGTCTTCCAAATCTAGTAGCAATGGGTCGTTGATTCCCTCAAGTAGGAATCTAGTTACATTTTAGGATAAAAGAGAAAGAATATCAGTAAATTATATCGAGATGCTGTACTTACGAATAAGAATAAGTCACTTTTTCGCTAAAAAGACTCTTGGGAAGACGCTTAAGCCAGCTCAGCCGGCAGCGAATTTCAGCATTTGACTACTTTAAAGGATTGAAAAGTGTGTCCACAGTCCGTTTTGCTGTGTTGCGTCTCCAGTTTCTGGGTGTTACCCCTAGGGTTTACGTTGGGGCTAAGCTTAAGTAAGCGTCTAAAGGGATGCCCAGAAGTGCTAAGGATGCTGTAAGCCATAAGAAGGTCATCTCTAAGGTCCATTGACTGGAGGTACTCTTCATAAGACCTGGACTTGATTCCTCGAACTGATTTCGCGGCTCGCCTCCGGACGCGATCTTCTTTTGCAGTGAGGAAGAAGAGCTATGTTTCCATACTCTGGGTCGAATGAAATAGCTGAAGATGGGGTGGAAAGTTCTGTCGAAATCTTATCTCTAGAGTTGAGTTACCTAAGTTGTAATTATAGTCCGCAACATATCTCGAGTGGACTACGTTCCACTTTGAAGTGTTGAGAGTAGGTCCATTGTTGTTTGCCCAACATTGAAGTCGAGTCAGGTCCTCCTGAAGTGCCAGTTTATCCTCTTGGTTTCACAATTCTCTCCGGTGTTTCATATCATCAGTGGAAAGTAATAGATCTGATGATACATGCTGTGGAAGATCCTTGCGTATGAATCAAAAAAGAAGAGGCCATTGTACTGAACCCTGAGGGCTACCACAATACATTCCTCAACCTGAGCAAAAGTGAAGTAAACCGTGAGCTTAAAATGTCGGTTTTTTAAATGTGAAGTGTGCCAATCAATTAAAGGCGATTTGATAACTAACCGTTTGTGCCTATTGATGACATATATGGTTGACCCTATCAAAAGCTTTTGAGAAGTCAAGGTATGTGAGGTCAACCTTCCCCTAGCTATCAAGGGTGCTTGTCCATCTGTCCACTGCAGTAAACATCTTGGCTATACGGAGATAACCCTTTCTGAAACCGCGCTGTTGAGGTAAACAGAAGTTAATGGTGGTAAAAGTCGTGTAGACTGTCGCACATCAAGGACTCCATAACTATTGACGGTATGGAGGAAAGTGCTACACGTCGGTAGCCTGAAGGTTCGCTGTGTCAACCTTTTTTGAAAGTTGTCGTAACGTGAGCCAGCCTACAACTTTCTGATAACTTGCCTCGGCTTAGCAAATGTGAGATCATCACGCTAAGCAG